ATAGTGCAATCACACAGCAACACTCTGTATAATTCTCAGAACAGTGAGCGCTATCTATCTGCACTGATATGGGAAGACCTCAAGAAACTTCATAAAGTATAATTTTCCAAACACACTACTGTGCTGGCAAGCTGGCTAGCAGGGGGAAAGAAGGCCCTGACTTCTGGCATGTACAAATTCCATGCTGTGCATACTCCACAGCGTCTTATTTCTGAACACCCACGACTTACTAAAACCATAAATTCTAAGAGACATCCACCCTTAGAAGCCAACTGTATGCCACCTTCACCACACCACTAGGTGGAAATGTGCATTGAGTTTTCTCATTGTATATACTGGCTGGATTTAAGAGAAGAACTGGGGAGTAGTGATCTGAAAGTTTGAGGCAATCCTCAGGCGATCCTCAGCTACACAGCCAGTCAAGGCTAGTCTGGGGTGTAAGAGGCTACATGAGAGAGTTAGGGGTGGCGGGCGGGGTAGGGGTAAAAGAAAACTGTTGAACATTTGCTAAGTTTTCCATTTCCAGCTTTTGGTTACACACAGCCCTGGAAGTGAGCCCAGGCCCACATTCCCGGCCACAAAGGAAATCAGTCAGCAGAGATCAAGATGAAGGAAATGTGCCCTTGCTGTTATCTTCCTTTCTAGGTTGTCATGAGAACTCCCACTGGCGAACAAAAGAGAAAAGCTACGAAGGTCAGCATGTGCGTGCAACGGAGTCTCCTACAGTTTATGAGACCAAATGCCCCAGAAGGCGGGATCATAACCAGGAAATGGAATGAAGAGCACGTGGAAAAGAAGACAGGAACATTACAGTTTATAGGTCCATTTTTGCAACCCTCGTCTCCTTTGGAAACTATTTCAGAGCCATTTTCTTTTAAAGTGGCTACTACTGCCGGAAAATAAATCAGGTAATTCGTGAATCTGTTCCACGCCCCTATCATTATTCATCAAATGGCATAACTTCTTGATTGCAAGAAGATTTCATAGAAAGCACATTTAATTAGAAAAAAATTTTAAGAACCCATATTATCATCCTAACAGAGTATTTACTGCAAAAGTTGAACCGATCACTTAACCTCTCCAGGCCTCAGTTGTTCACATCTATCTTTAAGAACTTTGAGAACTCTAGTTTTAAAAAACCTACAATTCTATTAATTTTGGTGGCCAAATCCTCTTAAAGAAGCCGATTCTCTCAAGAACTCGGATTCTCTGGAAAGTCCATAGGTCAAACAGAAAGAGATGGGCAAGCGTTGGCCCCTCCTTGTGGGTGGTAGCAGCACAGCACCAGAGCCTGAGAAAGGCAAGGCTGCATGGCCTTAGTACCAAAACAGCTTCTTGGGAGGCACAAAGAATGACAGACACTCCCACAGTGTCCATCCCCCTGAGGCGGCACAATGGCTCTCCAGTTTTACCTCCTTTATTTCCTTCCCAAAGCTGGCCTTTATAAAGTCCCCACTGACCCAGTCCTAATCCTGCTTCCAGATGCCTTTGGGCTTGTCTCTTCAAGAACATCCCCACTAGGGTCCTTTCAACTGTCAGAAAGCAATTGTGGAGGCACTGTGGGTACAACTCGAGTCCAGGCACGTGTGAAACCCGAGCTCAATCCCCAGTACCCCACATTAAAAAAAAAAAAAAAAAAAAAAAAAAGATCAGGCATAGCAGTGTAAGATGACAGTCCCATGGCTGGAGAGATGAAGATAGGAAAATCCCTGGTGCTTGGTTGTCAACCTAATCTAGCCTAACAGGGTTAGGGGGCATCAGTGAGAGACCTTGCTTCGAGAAATAAGTGGGAGCTAATGAATAAGTGGTTAGGGGTTCACACTAACCTTGCAAAGGACTCAAGTTCAGGTCCCAGTACCCACATTGGCCATCTTGTAACCAACTGTAACTCCAGTCCTCTCTGACCTCCAAGGGCACAAGCACATATGTGCGCACACACACACACACCCTTTAGAAACTTAATTATAATAATATCGTATTTATTTACTTATTTATTTGTGGTATACAGCTGTTTTGTCTGCATGTGCACCATGTCTGGTGTCCAAGGAGGCCAGAAAAAAAGCTGCTGGGTCCCCTGGGACTAGAGGCTGGGACTAGAGGTTTACAGGAGGCTGTAAACCACTGTGTGGGTGCTGGGACTCAAACCCAGGTCCTTTGGAAGAGGAGTCAGTAACTCTGAATGTCAAAGCCCCAACAAAATTTTTGGAGAGTGGACAGCTCCTAAGGAATGACACCTAAGGCTTGTCTCTAGCCTTCATACGTATGCACACACACCTGCACAGAGGGAGGGAGGGAGGGAGGGAGAGAGAGAGAGAGAGGGAGGGAGGGAGGGAGGGAGGGAGGGAGGGAGTCCTAACGGAGATGATGCTATTACTCTGTATTCCTGTGGTCCCTGGTGGCAAAGGAAAGCCACCTCCAGCTCACCGTGAGCCCGGGGAAGACTCAGACAGAAGAAAGGCCCACAGAAGCTTCCTCCGTTTAGTGTGAAACCTCATAAGGATCAGTTGACTCTTTGCAAAAACCTAAAAGCCACTCCCCTGAGGTTTGTGGGGAAAATGAAACAGTGAAGGCAAGTAATTTCCTCTAAGAGCTGAGGTCTCACTCTGTCACTTGGACTGTTAGGGAGCATAAATCCTCGCAATGATCACAGAGATCTTCTTGCCACTTTCCAGAACATAAAATGCCTCTTAGTGCATTACCTAATCTGATTCTCACAACAACGAGCTGCGAGGTACATGGATGGTAGGGGAGGCGAGGGTAGCAGGAGCTTTAAGGCTCAGGCCGATCACTACCGCTCTCCAGTTCGCCAACTTAGAATTGGTGGTGACACCCTTGGATGGGGTGTCGCCTTTATTTTACAGATTAAAAAAAAAACTGAGGCCTGAGTGAACTAAGAAATAAATCCCTAACAACTGGGGACTGACTACATGGGGCAGACTGGAAAGAACAAACACTTGAAACAACAGCTTCTTTACTACAATCTATTAACAGAAAACTGGATGGACATCTTATCTGGCCTGCAACAGGCAGGGTAGACAGAAGTAGGACCACAGAGGTGAAGATGGTATGAAATCCATCACTGAGAAACTACCATTGGCCAGGAATGGTGGAGCTTGCCTGTAACCCTAGCACTTGAAGTGGGGGCAGGAGGATCATGAGATGTCAACCTGCACAACACACACACTAAAACCCTGCTTCTAAAAAAGAAAAAAACTAACATGGGTCGATTATTAGGGAAGTAACTGTGGGCAGGCCAATCTAAGGGAACTCCATAAATAACAAAGCAAAGGAGTGGCCATGGTACACTAACTCCAAATCCAAGATGATCTTGAGCTATCAATGTCTCGCAAAGGGAGTTCATTTAAACACATCCTGTGGAGGTCCGGAGAGAGAGACTGGAGCTCCACCTAATTACAAAAGACTCAGACCCGATCTAATTCATGAACCGGCCATTCCCAATAGGTGATTTTTAGTCTCAAGTCAAGTTAAATGATAAGATCTGACTGTCTTACTTGTTTTCAATCTGTGGGAAGCAAGGGTGAGACTAAGCCAAAGGATTGGGCCTCAGCACTCAGTTTTCTTCTCAGGAGAAATTCCTAGAAGTATTAGCCAACATCTTCTACTTAAATGTTACTGACCGGAACTTCATCACATAATCAAATCTAACTGCAAAGGAGGTTAGGAAGAGCACCCTCTTAGCTGTGTATATCACACGATTAAATAAAACCAGTTTGTTTCTGGGGGGGGGGATGAAAAATTAATGGATGTTGAGTGAGCAAAAAATCAGATGTTGCCACAGCAATATATTATCCATATGGAGGTGGTGAGTTGGGCCAGGTGGTCCCAACTGAGTTCAGTGTAGAATGGGTGTAAAATCCCCGCAATGCTGAAGGTGCTATTGGTGAGATCCTAGCAGGAAGAGAGATACATAAGTCAGGTGTGAGGTCAGCAGTGTGGTAGGACACCATGCAGGCTCAGTGGGATGGAGAGAGCAGTGCACAGCCAGCCTGTACTGTGCATAAGTCACGCTCAGGATCAGAGAAAAGTGCACATAGATAGGACGTTGTCTGTGCTATGAGGGTTGAGAAGCACTCAACGGGTTTAGAAGGTCAATGTGTGTCTTTTGGTCTGTAGAGGTGACAAGTCTTTCTACCCATGTTGCAGCTTTTAACAAACATCAGTTCCTGTGAACTCATCATGAAGACCAGGAGAAAGTATGAAACATTCTTCTGTGCTCACCAAGCTTCCTTGACACAGGAGGCTTGAAGTCAAAGTCTACCTTCATCGGGGAATGTCACATTTACAAGTGCAGATGACTTCCTGGTCGGTTCCAAGCGAGCTCCACTTTGCAGCTGTCCTTCCATGGCCAACTTTCCTAGGGTTAGCAGGCTTCATACATCACACCAGGCAGGTTTATACACCTCGACCCAAAGCCGAGACAGCTAACAAATTACCATGGCACGTTGATTGCTTGCCTTATCTCGCCCTGGAGGCCTCCAGAGTCCTCTTTCCCATCACCACAAACACTTCCAATTACCGCATTGGTTTATCGGGGACTGTTTTCTTGGTGTTCCATTCTGCTCACTGTGACCTTGGCTGTCTGAATGATATATCCTTGAGTTGTTGCTCTATCCCTCTTAGATGTGCTTATCGCTGCCTCTGTTCCTATAGGATGTGTTTTATTACCGCACAGACTTAGCCGGTGGCCCCTATGGCATCTAGCACTAGCTGTCTCTTGAGCAAACCCGGAACATCTATAGGTGGCCGTTGTGAAAGAGGTCTCCAAACACAGAATACCAGACGTGTTACTTCATCAGACGTCTGTACAATGGGAGGAAATCATTACTTGAAATTTCAAAGGACAGCAGAGAATTTCAACACACACTTGGAATGAAGTTCTGCTGACTACCCTACCCATGCCAAGCTAATTACAGGAAATAATAACAGGCCATGTGATTGCCAAGCACTGTTCCAAAGTCCTTTCTGTGGTCAGTGTCCCCAACTCCATCAAGCCCTGAAGCTCAGAGAGCAGCTACAGATGCACCGTGGAGCAGAACACTGGTGTCAAGTGTAGCATTGTGGGAAACAACTACCCTAGCAGACGCCGCTGCAACTGCTTAATCAAGGTGAGAAATGATGTTGACAACATGGCATCTGACTCGTCAATTATCTGTCATAATCAATCAGAGCTCCACAAATAAATTTAATGTGAATTTTGTTTTTTTCAAAGTAGGGTTTTACTATGCAACCCTGATTAGCCTGGAAATCACTAAGTAGGTAGACTAGACTATCCCCCAGACTCACAGAATTCATCTTCCTCTGCCTCTACCTATTGCCTGTTCGGTGTGAATTCTTAGGTCTGAAGGAACTCTGACTTCCGAGTCCACCATATCTTACTTTGCAGATACAACAGTACATTTTAGAGGAATGGTAAGAAATTAATCTTGAGCTTGTTGGCCAAGAGCACCCCAGAACTGGATGCTTTCAACATGCATGCAGGACATACTGCCAATTTTGCTGGTATCAGATACTGAGTTTGCCTTCCCAGCTGAGGATCTTGATTTGGATAAATTAACCTGGATGTGGGGGGGAAAAAACCTTCTTTTCATAACATCCTATTGAGATAAGTTACTGCTTAAATTACTTCTAAAATGTAGACTCTGCAGGGAAACTGACTCTTGCTCAGTCTTAGTATAAAGAAGAAGCATAAGAAATTGTCACCAAATGAATACCATATCAAATATTCCTCATCACACGGATAGGACTGGTGTTCTTTGGAGAAGTGGAATGACCCCAATTTCAGGACACCGTAGGAACTCAATAGAATTTTGTAATATTATATTATAATTTATAAAGACATAACTAACTCAACAACAGGAAGGAATTGTATTCCTTGATTATAAAATATTTCTGTTGAAGTGCCTTTGATTTATTACTTATAAAATTAACTTCATGATTGGGAATATCATGAGGATTGTGCCAGATGCTAGAGGAAGATGTAAGGGCTCCTCCAACCTACTATTGTTCACCCGATTGCTCAGTAAAATTGGACACCCCCCCCTTATTGAATCAGAGCTGATACTGATGAGGCAACCCAGAGCAACATGGGAAGCCAGGCAGAAGAGCACAACAAATGTACGAATTGCAGGGATGGGCTGAAAACAGAGAAAGTCCATATGGCTCAGCAGCTCACTGAGCAGTCAGGAATGACGATTAAGTTTGTGGGGTAAGAACCAAGCCAGTCATCAGGAAGTAGAAAATCCACAGGGATCAAAAAGCACCAAGAGTCAACGTATCAGAAAATAAGTGAAAACCTTAGAGCCAAAGCACTCACTACTTTGGGAGAGAAGACTTATTCCACTTCCATGAGAACAGACTATACATAACCATTCCAGGTTGACTAGGTAGAAGCAGGGCGTCTTGCCAAGGGCTTCCATACAATGTCTAACAGAGGCCAGAACTGGAAGCTACGCATATCACATCAGGGTCATGGGGGTGGGGGGGGGCGGGCACTAGCCAGAAAGAAATACTAAGAGTCAGGGAAGAGGTGTGTAGAAACCAACCAACTTTGTAACAACACTCACCTCCCAGTCAGTGTTATCTCCCACATCCTTGTACCCTTTCCCCCGCTGTTTCTAGGCCCCAGGGATTCCACACACTGCCCATCTAAGGTTCAGCCCCTTCCTGGAAGGCACAGCACTCAGGCTTTTCCAAGCCTTATTACTTCCCAAGTGAAAAAGTGTGCGTGTGTGCGTGCGTGCGTGCCTGTGTGTGTGCGTGCCTGCCTGCGTCTGTTTTTTTTAACTGTGTCACAGATGCTAAGGGGAGAGGATTGTGTTAAAGCGACTCTAACGTAAAGATGATGAGTATGCCTGCCTATCCTACAGATATTGTCTGAAGAAACTAGCTAGTGGATGTGAAACCACCACCAGAACACCGCCCTCGGCACTCCAGAGGAACAGAGGTTGAAAAAAAAATTTTTTCTAATTACTTAAACAAATGGCTTTAATTTGTAGTTCTTTTAAAAAGAAAACTGTTGGTTTTTCTTCACAATAAAAAAAATGTGTATTAATCCAGACTTCTAAGGTCTCTGTTTAAAGGCGATAACTGAAGCACCTCCCTTATCTCCCTTTTCAATCAGATGTAGTTCTAGGAATAAACACAGATGATTTGAATTTTAATGATTTCCAAGAACTGATACTTGACTGCGAAAAAAAAATCAGACATTTCAGTTTTCTAGGACAAGGGAAAAAATTATTGCCGAGGCCACGCCTCACAGCGGAAAAATCATGAACTCAATATCACCTTGGCTAGTCCCTCTTCATCCTGGCCCCCATCTCTTCACACGGTAATAATACAGATTTTGCAAGGTTCCCATGAAAATTACAGAGCATGCCTATGGAGCATCTAGTGCAGCACGTCACAGGTGGTCCATGAATCATAGCGAATGTTATTATTAGCTCGCTTATCTAAGACGTGCCCCCATCATCTTCCACGGTAAACACGGTGCTTCCTTGTCAATAGAACAAAGTGCCTGGCTGGAAAAGCACCCAGGGAGAGTGACCAAAATGCCATCCTAAGGGCAGAAAATTGGGCAACAACCTCAGTCCTGTCACCAGGCAGCTGTGAGAGTCTGAAGAACAGCAAACCCCCTACCTTTGCTTCCTTATCTGGAAATCGAAGGTTAAACATCGTTCCCGATACACAGGTCACTGGTGCTCTCTGATTACATTATGGGCAAAGAGAGGACTAGAGAAAGGTTGTCCCTATCTGAGAGCAGCCCATTCCTAGATGACCAACTTTTGCTTAGCGTAGCATTTCACCTTCCAACCACCCACCTTCGGTCCTGATTCTGATCACTGGACCCTGGCCAATGGAGCAAACGGACTTGGATCAGTAAAACCCGATATAAACACACTGCTGACACCCGCTCCCTGAGAGCTGGGATAATGTGCTTAAGTCATCTTAAGCTTTAGTTTTCTTCTCTGTAAAAGTACAAGAGTAATAATCACCTCGTTGAGTTTTTATGAGGATTAAATGATATGTATATGAAAATGAGTTATGAGCTATACAGCATTCTGCAATGTTAACATAGCAACTGTGATTATTGGTGACTAATGCCATTGAAACTCTGCACAGCAGCCCAAGAAGCTGGATTCTGAGTTGGACACTTGAGAGTCATCAATCTCAGCTCCTGCCCCTTGTGGATTTTGTGAGGTCGGTGGAATCCGGCAGAATGACATTGAACTTTGCTGCAATCAGGTATTGATTCTGGTTTTCCTAACAGAGAACAGAGGTTTGTTTAAACTTTTACTTAGAGGCAAGTGACAGGAACTGGTTTTAATGGTCCGGAAAAGTTTTCACCCCATTACCAACAGTCTACCCATGTGACCTGAGGTTTTCCTATTTCAAGAGGCAATTGCAGAGTTTCTGGAGAACCACCTTGTACTAATAGTAACAAATCCATCAGTTGCTGGAAAGAACCATAGATCGACTGCCACACGGCTCTGTTCTAAAGCTGTGTTGGGTCTACTATTCCACAGAACAGTAGCTTTCTGTGGTTGTCAAGAAGCCTTGTGAAAAGACTGCCTAACAAGAGCCGAGTAAGTCAGTGGGTTTCTTAGATGTATCCTGAGATGCCCAGCTGCATGCTCTGTCTGCACTGTGGTAAAAACCCCCTACAGAATTTTCTCCTCTGTACCAAAGTCATAAAGCTATTTATTAACCCAAGGTGTGGAGTGGTGACTTTAGGACATGCTTCCAGGTAGATAGTTTTCTGAGCAGTCAGCCCTGTGAAGGCTTTAATCTCTCCCCTTTTCACCGTTTTACTCCCCCTCCCCCATCTGACCTTCCTATCAACACCTGCAGACCACATGCCCCTAGCCAGACGGGGCTGGACCCATAAACAGAAGAGTAAGCAGCTACTCACATGGTGTAATTGGAGACACCTCACAATCCCCACTGCCCAAAATATCTTCCCCACCAAATGTCATGGTGCCGAAAAGTCCCAGCATTGAAATCGCTGCTACTAAGATCTCCGTCCTTCACCTCATCTTCCCAAGTGTCCGCACCCTGGACGCTGACTTACCCTCTGAGCTTAGCTGTGTATCAGTCACGCTTCAAGCCTTCAGATTCCCCCAGCTATATGTAATCTCTCATTCCCAGGAACAATTGCAAAGCTTAGTTTGTGCCTATGTTATGGTATTTGCCCTGTGTTTAAACACGGGTATTATCGTACCAGCTATCATCTGAAAGTTCCATCCCTCAGCTGGGTCTTATTTCTCTACTTCCATCCCATCCCCAGCAGATGAGGCTCAGAGCCGGCCCCTGAAGAACCACGAGAGCCTCGGGCGTGAACTTCACCAGGACTGAGATCTTGCTACTCACTCTCAGTCCACCTGGAGAGTCACTTCCAAGATCTCATCGTACAGAAAAGGCCACTGGAGAGTTCCAAACTACCAGGGCTCTGCCGGCACCATAGCTAGCCCACTAGGTGATGTCACAGCACATATTGGCTTAAGAAAGACCCCGCGTGGCTCGCCTTCCTCCTCTAAAACTTACCCCACTGCAGACGGCTTCTCTCTTAAAGAAGGAGAAAGGACGAGTAAGCTAAGGAAGAGTGACTGCAGGGATGAGCACTTCCTTTCACCTGATTTTCTCGCAGAACTGGGTGGTTAGTTCAGCTTGGAGCTTGCCAAGAGCTGTGCTGAAAAGACTTTAACACAAAGGAGCACTGTGAGTGCTGGCTCACAACAGTCTCAAAACGGTGGTGTGAAAGACCGAGTATTTGCTATCACCTCACTGGGGATAAACGGGGCTCAGCTAAGCAGTTCTCACATCGGGTCTGTTGGAGAACTACAGTCAGATTATGTCTATGCAGAGAGTAACTTCAAGCCTGGGCTGGGAGGGCTCACACAACTAGAGGCTAGGATGGCTGGTCTTCCTCCCACAGTGTCCCTGAGTGATCTCTCCAGATAACTGTCTAACTTTGATAGCACGAGAACAGCCAGAATCCTTACAAGGATGCTCGGGTGAGGGAGAGAGAGCATCAGGGAAGCCTTATCAGACTTTGAGTCAACCTCCCAAGGCAGGCCATCACTTCGGTCAGCTTCTGCTTGCTAGAAACAAGACAACTAAGACCAACCTGTATTCAAAGGATGTATAATTACTCTCCAGCTTTTGATGGAGGAGTGTCTAGGAGTGTGAGAACATGTTTTAAAGCTATCATTAATGGAAAAGTAAGCATTTGCCCATCAATAAATGCTATTAGTGACAGTCATGGCAACGCACGCCTGTGATCCTAGTACAGTGAAGGCTGGAGGAGGAGAAGAGGGAGTCAGCCTGGGTTACACAGTGAGACCCTGTGTCAATAAAACTTAAATTTCAAAACATGTGATTCTTTTGAAAAACCAAATTTAGGGCTAGTCTAACCTAATCTAGGGATAAAACATAAAATGCCTAGAGTTCTGCTGTCAAATATGGTATCTACTAGCATAATTGGATATCGAAACTTAAATTAGACTTAATTAATTATAATTTAGCTTTAAGTTAATTAAAGTTAACTAGTTAGAGTTAATTAACTGCCATTTAAATTAATTTAAAATATCTTAAATAAAAATTTCTAAATGCCTTTCTGTCTTAACAGCCAATTTCAAATGCTTCATAGATATATATACACTTGGTACCATCATGTTGGGTACCACAAATAAGAAACATTTCCATCATCAAAAACAGTTCTCCCAGACAATGCAGATTTAGAATGATGAAACAATATATCCTTCAGCTGTCAATCAGAATTGCTTTCCTCTAATTAAGCTTCAGTAGGCACTGGGCAGGAGAGACATCTAGCTTTTAACACTGGGCAAGAGTTACCCACGGTGTTGATGAGGGATACTCCACACTTAAGAATCAACCAAGCAGATGGTAGGTTCACCTCCCTTAAGAACGGAGTCTCCAACTCAAGCCCCCAAACAGCTGGCCAGCCCTCTTCCATGTGGAGATTTTCCAACTAAGGGTTGCCTTCAGTCGGCTTCCTAAAAGCTATCTGCTTTAAAAGTGTGGTGAAGAAAAATAAAAGCAAATCTGCAAAGCTCATTCTCTCACTCCTTCACTCAACCAACATGTATTGACCTGGTATAAATGCTGTGTGGTTGGTGCCTGAATAAAAATGTGAGCGGATTTTACTGACTCCTCAGGCCCCCAAAGCAGACACACAAATGTCAACAGGACAGCCCCCCAAAATTTACCTTTAAGTAGTATCCTTTAGTAGTGAAAACATGAGAGAGAAAAAAAATGGATGCAAAATGTACCTGACAAAGATGAGAGAATTAGCTCACCAGATATAATTAACTAGATAGTAGTCAATTAAATCATAAATGCTATCGGTCAAAAAAGATGATTTTGAGTTTAGAAATTTTGAATTCAAGCAATTCTATTTTCCAATAAGATAAAGGGTCCATTTCTCGTTAGTGACAATAAAATTATATCACCAGCATAGAGAACAGTTATTTTTATACTCCTTATAATAGGGGTGAGTGCAGCTAGATCATGTCCTCGTTGTTTCAAATCATTTAGATACAAATTTTAAGAGAACTGCAAGAAGCAGAGTCAGAACAGGGTTCAATTTTTCAAAGACTAGACAGATAACTAGAATTGTTATCTGATCTATTACCGGACCACCCCCAGCAGCTCTTGGGGCCTATGCTCAGATGGTATAGAAGAATCATAATCTTGCATCCCAGCTGTAATGAATGATGCATGCACCCCATCACCTCCCCCATCCCTGCTCCCCCATTCTTACGTCATTCTCTGCCTCTGGAGGCTAGCTTGTATAAGAGGCACCTGCGGGTTCCCTTGCCCTCTTCCCTTCTAAAGGAGTTCTGCCGAGGGGAGGCACCAGCAGGAGATTAGAGGATGGAAAACTAGGAGGTTAGAGTATCTGTCCCTCCAGCTCCCTTCCTGCCAGGCCGCCATGGGTTGGCTGCATTCCTTAACTAAAGGCTATAGCTCACGTCGGGCAGTGTTCTTAATATAGTTATGCTCTCTGAATTGCACTAATCCTCACTCCCTTTGATCATTCAGGCCTGTGAGGCTCAGTGTCTCCCTGCTAGTGTAAGACCTTGCAGGGTTTCCTCCAAACTCTTTGTACCTTTGTACATTGTTCTTCTAACTATTCAGTTTGTGTCAGAAACTGATTTCTGATGACCCCTGATGATACCAATCCATTACTGGTTTTATGCATGAAGATCAAAAATAACCAATTAAATTTATATGCAACCTTAGAGCTCCTAAAATGCTTCTTTTTTTTTCTTTTCTATTTTATTTTTCCCCCTTTGTTTTTTTGATACAGGGTTTCTCTGTGTACCTTTGGAGCCTGTCCTGGAACTAGCTCTTGTAGACCAGGCTGGCCTCAAACTCACAGAAATCCGCCTGCCTCTGCCTCCCAAGTGCTGGGATTAAAAGCGTGCCACTACTGCCTGCATCTAAAATGTTTCTTAACACATTATAAAGCACATGGTCACTGGTGCAATATTGTACCTAAATCCAATGTGTTCCTTCTAAACTGTATTAAGCAGAGAAAAGTCTGGACTATTGTTTAGGAAAAGCATTTCAATGCAATATCCACCAATATGGTGATACTGCAGTTGGATAGAACAGTATCACTTCTGAAGAGAGGCAAGAATTCAGGGTCGTCATGGACTATACAACGATCATAAAAAATTAAAGCAAGAGGAATGAGGGTTTAGCAGATAAAATAGTACTTTTTAAGAAAACTACAGCCCAAATTGGAGCAGAATCCGAGCCGTTCTGGATGTGAGGAGTCTTCAAAGATGCTTTGTAACCAACAGTACCATATGAAGTACCACCAGCACTTAACCAACAAAGAGACTACCGAACCCAAAGATTACTTCAGTTATTCTTGGACTAAGGGCTCTGAGGCTGCCCTGCTCCTGACCATTGTGTTGCTGTAATGAATGAAATTCTTGAAGTTAGACAGTCTTACTTCCAGATCTCTGATTCAAAATCACTTATAATGTAAGAGGAATAGTATTTCCAGTGTGGAGTAGTTGTGGGCATTGGGTATAAAACTACATGCTCATTACAATCACTAACTGAAATTCAAAAACAAAACTGAAAGGGACTAGACAGACGGTTCAGCAGTTAAGACCACTTACTGCTCTAGTAGAAGAATGGAACTCAGTTCCCTGTGCCCGTGGCAGGTGGCTTGCAACCATCTGTAACTCCAGCTCCAAGATATTAGACACTCTTTTAGCACCCTCAGGCACCCATAAACAAATGTCTATGCAGACACCATGGAGGAGGAAGAAACAGACAGACAGGTACAAATTAACATAAAAATAAATGCATAAATAATTAAATGTACAAATCACACTTAAAAGAATAACCCAAACCGCTGGGAACCAAAGACTCCCATCTCAAGATGACCCAGAAAATCAGCAAGTGCACTGGGTGCGATGGAGAACAGGCTGGTAAAGTAACCCAACCCATGGGTTGCCTACAGTTCAAGAACATAAGTAATGGACGAATTCCCTTGTTCTCTAAGGAATAGTGACCTAAGAGAATCATCTATTTCTGGAAGAGCTCTGGGTTTCCATCTTCTCCCAATATGTTTCAGGGTTAATTAACACACCCTCTGCCCCCCCCATAGTGATTGTTTCTTATTCTACAAAATACCTGGGAAGCCAGAGCTAGTGTGGACTGGTGTAGGCACCTCATTCGCAGCCAGAGTGTTCTTCCAATTTGCCATGGTTCCTCTGACACCTGCTTCCAGAAATGGCCTGGGTGGGGAGCTCTAGAGGACCTCTGGATTGCTCTTTTGAGATCATTCCATCTGAGTGACAATTCATTCCCTTGTCTGGTTGGTCACCTCCAAGGCCAAGAGGTTATGATTACTTCCTCACAAAAGAGACATGCTCCCATCAGTGTCTTGGGGTATACCAGACAATGTCATTGACTTTACCTCTGGATAGAATTCATATTTATGAGTCACTTAAAGACAATGTTTAGCTAGACCACTAAGAAGTGGGACCATGGCAAATGAGAGAGGGAGACCTTTGTGGGGTGGAATCAGAGTGTACTGTGGTGAAAGCACCCGTGACAAAGATGAGTCCCAGAAGCTGGCTGGCAGATCTCTGAGGCCATGGTTCCTGTTTACACTGAGACTGGTTTGCTGCCCCACTGGCCCATGGGTGGAACCTTACGAGAACCAAGCAAACGCAAACATAAGAAATCAACATGTAGGAAACAGCTGCCATGTGCCAGGCTTTGTACAGCATATTTTTTATATTATCTCAGTTCATCCTGTGAGTAGCCCATCTTAAAAGACTGAGACGTTCAGTAACTTGCCCAAAATTAACCTGTAGAATCAGAATTCAATCCAAGTTTGCTTGTTTCCTATCCTGTTCTCATCCTTTTCTGTCACACGTTATGATCAAGGACACTGGTCCATTATTCACGATCTTTACACAGAGCTCTGGACACCTGCAATGCACTGACTTACTACCCTGTCTGTCTTTCATCTTTTACACAAAGCTGTTAAGAGAAAGTATCACTGGATTCCAGTTAACACAAAGAAGTGGACCGCATTCTCCTGCATCCAGTTTATTATTATAACTTGATTCTTAACAATGACCTCCTGGATCCGTGGCAGGCCACTGCATAATTAATTATCCAAAGTTAGTAGCTTAAAGCCAAAAACGTTTAATATCACATTATTATGGTTCGTGATTCTGCAAGTCCACTGGCCTTACATGGACCCATTTTCAAGGGTGCATCTAATTTCAAAGGTGCTTGGGAATAAAGTCAAACTGGGACAGACTGGAGTCAGTTTCTCTATCTCTTTCTGTCTCTATCTAACTCTGTCTGTCTCTCTGTCTATATCTCTTTCTCTTTGTATCTCTGCCTCTGTATCTCTCTCCCCCTCCCTCCTCCTCCTCCTCCTCTTCTTCTTCTTCTTCTTCTTCTTCTTCTTCTTCTTCTTCTTCTTCTTCTTCTTCTTCTTCTTCTTCCTCCCTCTCTCTCTCTCTCTCTCTCTCTCTCTCTCTCTCTCTCTCTCTCTCTCTCTCTCTCTCTGACCTAAAGCAATAAGGTATCCATTTCATATACACTCATCACACAACTGTGAAGAAGCAATAGGGAGTCACATAATCATCACTGGCCACAGCAATTCTGAAATCCAATCATACCTACAGGCAAGGCCTTCTGTCTGGAAATGGGAGTGCAGTTTTATTCTCTGGGAGTGCTTGGGTGTGCTATCTAAAAAGGCTTTTTCACAAACGGAAACACCCTGTGTTGGTAGCTAAGTGATTTTCCCAAGTTCTTGTCTCTTTTAATTTTGAATCTCCTGTGCACTATTTAGCCTAACTAGATCCAATTCTCTTAAAATTTTTATGGCTTCCTATATACATCTCAAGTTATAGTTGGATGCATTAAACATAAATTATCCCCACAACTATTTTTGAGATGTTCCTCTACCTTGTCAACATGTCAAGGTACTATGGGAAAATTCAAGTTCTCAGAGGCCCTTCCATGCACCAGAGTCTCTCAGACATCACTTTAAATAGTTCTAGGGACTTAAATATTGTTGTCATACCTGCAGTTTCAACTGTGTTCCAAGGTCATTTCTTACTTAAAGAATCCATTGCCAACTGAAGATACTAACATATGAAAGTTTCATTTTCCAATTCAGCATCTCCTGGACTGACCAAATCTGCTTTAAGTTCTTCCCATAAATTGAGTTATTCCCTTACTTTATCTCTGTCTTTCTATCTTCTCATTTGTGTAACCTTCTAAGGGTAATTTGATCCCTACAGCATTCCAGGTGGAAATCTCCTTAAAGGAAAATCCACAAGTTCATTGAATACATTTCCTGCCTTCCACATTCCTAGATATTAGTGTTCCCAGCTTTTCCTCTACAGTATAAAGTGATTTACCCTTTCTCAACCTCTACTAGCAATTCCCTTCCACGTCTTCAGGCTCCACTAAGGCCACTTGCTGCCCCACAGACTCTGCCACCCACTCAGTCCTAAAGTCAAGGTTATGTGGCTTTGAGTTTGTTGTTACAGCAGCACACTACTTCCAGGCATTGGTTTTTATGATTCATATTTATTTGTAAGACAAGGGATAGAGAGATGGATCAATGGCTAAGAGTACTTGCTGTTCTTGCGAAGGACCTATGTAGGTTCCCAGCACTCACATCAAGTGGCTTAAAATCTCCTGTAACTTCAGATCCAAGTATCCATCACCCCTCTGGCCTTTATGGGAACCAACTTACACAAGGTACAGACATGCGCGCGCGCGCGCGCGCACACACACACACACACACACACACACACACACGCACGCACGCACACAAATAATTTTTTTAAACACCCCCACAAACTGAGTGAATTAACAACCCTTCATTTCTCAGGATTCTATGAGCTGGGTCATTCATTCTCCCGCCGGTCACGCCTGGCTGTGATCTCTCATGTAGCTGCTTCCACCTGGGAAATCTTTGGAGACTAAGCTTAACTGGCCTCTCATATAATGTAGATTTTAGTTCTGGACTGACACACGGCACAGTGAACTCCGGGTTTTGAGATGCTGAGTCCCAGTGTGCACATGTTCGCCGAACCTCTGCTTCTGTCTCATTTGTTTATGCCGCATTCGCCAAACGGGTCACGTGGATGAACCCAGCACCGTTGTGGTAGCGCTGTATAAAAGGACGTGAATAACGACAGGTATGTTCTGCTGGAGTCACCACAGCGACACTCCACCAGAGTGTCAAAATCTAAGCTTCATGCCTCTTCCTGTATTCCCACTCAAGCATACAGGCCAATGACTTGCTCGTCCATGCATATTCGCTATATTTGTCTAACCGAGTTGAAGACACATAGATCTTAACAACACAAGAACCAGAAAGGCTAAGACTGTTCCCACGCACAGTCTTAGAAAAGCAAAGACTTAGAACAATGTTAGCCATGAACTACCATCTTCCCATGTTCTTATGAATCAGATACCTTTTTATGACTGGGGATCTTTACAGTACCAAGAATTTCAAATAAAGGTCTGACTCATTAAGTGTGTATTTGCTAGAGCCGTACCAATTTAAGAAGTAAATTCCGTGTGAATTTGAAAATTCTTCATCCTAAATCACTGTTCAAACATCTGAATGCTCGTATAATGACAATTCCTCCGTATTTGAGCAGGAGAGAAAGAACTGAAGCGAATCATTGGAATTTCAAAGCCAGTGTTTGAGTTTAGTTAAGATCAGATGTTAGACTTGATTTGTCTTCCCATGTGGAGATGTAGGTATACTGACTTTTCATTAAAATAAAGAGAATCATGAATGTGTTTTATTGGGTGGTCTCAAAAGTTCTCTTCTTATCAATCATTTTGCCAGAACAAGTTGGAAATTTTTTTAGCAGTAGTGATGTGTAATGAGGAGTACCTTTGCTTAAAGGTAGCTTACTTTCAAAACCCTGTGCCCAAAGACACCATCTCCTCTTGCTACCAAGTGTGATTTTAATAACTCATGTATGTTTGCATTTTCTCCCATGCAGCAGAATATTCCATCAAAGTGTAACAAGGGGATTCGCTGAGGACTCAATTTGTACAGAGTGGCTTTTTGTTCCTTTGTTTGCTTGCTTGTTGTGCAATTAACCTTCTGCCTTTCCACTTCCAAGAAATGATGTTCTTACTCCAATCTAGGAAACAACAGGAGGGGTTTCTAAATAAACTTTGGGGACTAGAGGGGGCCACTACTATACTCTATATTTTTAACCTATTAGTCCTTCCAAAGTGGAGCTTACTGAGGTTGTGAGGGAGAGGGGGAGAGGAGGAGAGTCAGCATTTATTGAGCTCTCAGGGTACTAAGCTTTGTTCAAAGCACTTTATGTAAATTAATTTATGCACTCCTCACACTGTTGGGGCGGGGTATTGTCTATTTCCCCTTTACACAGATGAGCAATGAAGTATAAAGCCATTTTTCAGGTAATAGTTTTTGAATGGCACATCAGGATTTGAACCCACTACTAGTTCTATTTTAATTCAAAGATACTACTAGTCTCATACAGAACTCAGCCTTCTGCCTACAGCCTTCCTGAGACTCCATTCTCAGCAGCAAGTGACTAACAGTCATATACTTTGACAGTCCTTTTCTCTGTGTTTTTGATGATTTTCACAAACTGTTAATAAGCAATATTGATGCCTCTGGCCAGTCACCTAACCAAGATCATCTAAGCCAGAACATTCTCTCCTTAGCTGTCTAGGACTCTTGTTCTCCTAGAACTCAAGTAGGGTTACCACTCCATCCACTACTGACACAGCTGTCTGTACTTCCTCTGTATGTAGCCCTGGTGACCTCCTACCTGTCCAGTTCTCCATAACTCAATGCCTTCCAGATTCCCGTGTACACTTGTTGATTGACACATAAGCCCTGTGGGATGAAGTTCATGTTTTTCTCCACAGCATTCCTTTGTAGCAAACGTATGTCCCCATCACCCCATGACATTGTAGGTGACTGCCAACCTCTCAGAGCTGGGTCTCTCATATGTTATGCATCTTCTTCACCCATCACACTACATCCCAAGCCAACACATGGTCAGTCAAAATGTGCTTACTGGGGGCCAGTGTACATCAGGGCCTGTGGCAAGCACACAGAAGAGAACTGTGTCCTAGAAGCTTTGATTCCCTACCATCCTGACTT